ATGTAACTTTCTGCGATACTGTGGTCACTTTCCATGTTGCATCAATTATGCTAATGCTAGCTGCCTGTCACGTGCTAGCTGCCTGTCACGTTCTCTCGACCTGGCCACACCTCCGCTCTCTAACCCCCCTTCCTCCACCCACACCCCCTCCCCTACCCACTTTGATGCATTTTTCAAATTTCGCCTTGGGGCGGAGTTATCTTTTCACAGGGGGGGTAAGTTACACTTTAAAGAAACATGAAAATCTGATTTATTACATGACAAGAACAGAATAAAGGAGGGTGACCTGTAGGATAAAAAAAAGTGTTTGATTAATAATCAAAATTTCATTAAAAATTATTGTAGAGCAGAATGTGTCACTGTGACTCATTGTGTCGAGTTTGGCTTTACTGTCTTCAGAAGATGCGAGTTCAAAGGAAGTCCACTTTTACTGTGCCGCTTAAAAGCATCTTCAAGGCAATTAGATGAGAAAATGCAGCACAAAAGCTTTAACTTAGTGCCGTGAGGTTTTATGAACAAACCATAATGGAGTGAAACAAGCCTGTGGGCAGCTGCAGGGGGAGCAAATGAAGCCACGTTTGTTTACAGAGCAGTAAAAAGGCCCGACGTTAGCTGGAGTTCGATGCGTTGAACTGATGCGACGGTCTGACTTTCTGCATTCAGCCTGTTTGAACTCGGTTCTGTTGTGGGTCTGCACAGGTGGCAGGACTCCGCTGCAGAACTTCCTCGGGATCGCCGAGCAGCACATGGGCCCGAACAACGGGGTGAGTGAGAAGTGTGGCTCATCTCAGAACGTCATGTGTTGTTGTGCGTACTGTTTGGCAGGTTTTACTTGTGATTTCCTGACTGCACCGTAATGTTCCGAAATAAACATTTATTGAAAGAATGCATATCAAAATTTGAAATAAAGTTGTCAGCATTTCAGCATACATGATGCAAAACACTTCCAGCTACTGATGCACCAAATTCCAGCTCAACTTCTGTAAAATTGACCAAGCTATAACCATTTTTGTGTTTGTTATTTTTGATTAGCTGAGCTGTGGCAGACATTCTCAGCTGACTCTAAAAGTTAATAAGTTTACTTTCTGAGAGTTTCACTAAAATCTGTCTGGTGTTTAGATGTTTTACAAACAAAGAAGGTTGACTGGACTTTCTTACCAAAGTTTTAAACTCTTTATCATGTGTGATCCATTAGAACTTAACGTATCTGTTGAAGATGACTCTCCACTATTTTCACACCAAACTTTAGCTCAGTATCTGCAMAACTGGCCGAGTTCACTGCTGAGGTCAGGTAGCTGTGGCGGCCATCTTGAAGTTAATCAGTTGTAGACAATCAGTGATGGCTTGAGAGTTTCATTACAGTGTTTTCAATGGTTCATGAGATATTTTGCTGACAATCATCTTTTTTCTGTATTTCTTATTGTTTGGATGTTCAGTTTGTTAACAAACTGGAGTCAGAATCTATATTTAACAAAGACGCATCGGTCCAGTTATTTATTTCTTTTCTTGTTCAAAAGCTCCATTGTGCTCTCGAATATTGATTGTCTCTTTTATTTGAGTCTGTAGGAGAACATGTATAACTCACACCTCTCCACGCTTTGCATTCCTTTCCTCACTCTGTCTTCTTTAATGAATAAACAAAAAGCAGATATTTGGTGCAACAGTTAGTATTTTCTGTCCATTAGACTTTGTGAATGAAGAACTGAACCATCCAGAGATTGGCTCACACGAGATTTGTTCTAAACTTTTAGCTTCACTGGGAAACTTTTATTGARCTGCTGAAAATGTCACACCACTGACTGACAAAATGTTCTCTCCTTCAGAATTGTTGCTTTTGTAGCTGAGCTGAGGAGAGGCTGGATTTGTAAAAGAAAGTTGGAGTTTAAACACTGTTTTTTAACATTTTGACAGGATTATTGTAATGTTTCTATTTTATTCATTTTATCTTTTTTTTTAAAAAGAAGAGGAAAATGCACAATCTAAAAAGACATTTCCCTCACAGTACCCAGTATATGACTCCCACAGAATTAATAAACTTTTGTTTGAGGAATCTATGACTGTGTCCAAATTCAGACCTCTGGTCCACGATGTCGACMGCAATTTGGTTGGTCTAGCCTTCAGGTTTATTCCCGCCCTTACCCCGGTGTGTGTCCTGTCGCCTGTCAACCATGACGGTGCTAAACAGAGGCAATGAAGATCAAAATTAGCAAAATGTTAATAATAATTTAAATTAACCAAAGTAGCTTAGTGGCAATACATGAAGAAATAAGGGACCCACCATTCACAATAATTTCTGCCAAGAATAATATTTTTCAGTTTTTGTACCACCAATTTTTTTTTATTTAAAACTGTACCCTTGTCTCTTGCTTTGTCCATGATTACTAGCAAGAAAAAAATCTACTGGTTAGTCCACAATGCATCATGGAATAAGGTGGGTTGAGAAGCRTTTCTCAAATTGGGGTAAAGGGAGGATGAATTTGTGGGCCACAAATGGAGGAGCCTTCAAATTTGGACATCATTCTGCGCATCGCTGTGAAGTAATCAGCCTTTGAATTTGGCCTTCGAAGGATGCAGCCCCTAGATTTGGGCACAACCTGTAACACCCCCGCCCTTACACACACAGACACACACACACACACAGACACACACACACACACCACCATCACCACCCTCTATATCCTCAATACCAGTGTTGTATAAAGTACCTCAAAGTGATACTTGAGTAAAAGTACAAGTATCTTATCATAAAAATACTTTGGTAAAAGTTAAAATCTTCTTTAAAAATATTACTTGAGTAAAAGTCGTAAATTATCTGATATGTTTTGTACTTAAGTATTAAAAGTACATTTTTGACACAAAATCTACTTAAGTATTAAAAGTAAAAGTACTGAGTAAAAGTGAGCAGTTAGATTTTCCAAAATGACATTTATTGGGAGGTGACTTCTCAAAAAAAAATTTTTTCTAATGGCGTGCAGATGTGATGGACTGTGTACAAAGTTATACAATTTCAGAGTGGTATATATTTATACTTCTCATTCAACCACAACTTGATGCACTCTATCCAGGAGACACAATTTATTAGGATAGTATTTTTCTAAATAATAATGTGGAATAAAATAGGAGTAACGACTTTCTACTTCATACCTTTTTAAAAAATGTAAGGAGTAGAAAGTACAGATAACTGTGTAAAAATGTAATGAGTAAAAGTAAAAAGTAGGCTGAAAAATAATTACTCAAATAAAGTACTGATAATCAAAATTTTTACTTAAGTACAGTAGCAAAGTATTTGTACTCAGTTACTTTACAACTCTGCTCAATACCAAACCCACCGTTTAACACGTCAGTGCTCCACCATCACAAACTGGTTTCATAAAAAATATATTTCCACAAACGGATCAGGGTGCCAAYACAATCTAAGATGAAAAATGTTAAAAGACAAAAAGATAAGGGAGACGGGATTTTAACAACTTAATACTGAATCCCAGGAATGAGACAGATCCAAGCTGTCAAATCTGTTGGATCTCAGATTATCAGAGTGCTCATTTGAACAAAGCTTGTTAGTTAGAGATAACACCACCGTCTGTCAATCAAACTTCTTTAAAGTCATATCGTTGTTRAGAAAACATTTTCTACCCTGACATACAGTATATCAATACTGATTTATTGTCCACCACAATTATGAAATATATGAGTGATGATCTTCTTACCTTGTAAAAAAGCATTTGCTGCAAATCCGTAAATACACCAAGGAATGCCAGTCCATATGGTTGATGGCAGTCAACCTAATAAAAGTGATATAAAGCTACCAACTGTCTATTTTTTGACTAGCTGTACAGGAGTACATGGCGCCGTAATGGCAGTGATGACACGTGCAATGGGTCAACTTTTCTACTACAAAATGCCAATGTTTTAAAGCATGAACTGTGTAATATGTATAAAAATAGCCGAGATCCAAAGAAATGGTAAAACTGCTGACAGAGGTCGCTGTGGGAACCACACACCCGCGTCTCTCACTCCCTGATATCACCTTTTATGACAAGCAAACAAAAACAGAACAGTACATAAGCCTCAAACAAACAAAGTGAGAAAATTCTGAGCTCAGATACAATGGGAGTCAATGGGAATTTGGACGTGAACACTYTTAACTCTTTTTTTTTCTTGACAGACAAAACAATTAGTCCTTTAGCAGTGAGACACACCAAGTACAAGAAGAAAAAACTGATATAAACTAATGAAAAGTGTGTAATTCAAACCTTCGATTACTCTGTTCTGTGGTAAAATCTTCAAGCATTATAAAACCCAAACTTCAGTCCTGTAAAATCCAACATTATGTGATGTGTTTAGATATTGAATTACATTCACATAATGAAGTAGACTTGACAGCTCTGAACTTCCTGCAGCCAGGTGGTCCTATCTGAAGGCAGCTAGACAAAGTGACAGCTGAAGTGTATTTATCTTCCTTCTATTTTAAAATGGTGTTGTGGTTTCCGTCGCTGCAGAAAATGCTGCTTCATTAAGATAGGATGTTGGAAATGGAAGTAGGTTCACTGCTTTGGTGAAAACGTCAAGATATGTGGTTTAGACTTTCATCCAGAGCGTAAAGAGTCGTGATAATTTATCGTTTTTAAGCCGTTCGTCTTCTCACGTAGACAAATCCTACTTACCAGGCTTGTTCACAAACAAGCGGCAGGTCGATCCTGGATGGAGGATGTTTTCTGGTTGGGCAGTGATGCTCAGACTCTAAGGATTAGAGATAGGAGATGTTATGTAGAAGCTAAGTTCCAATCAGTCTTTTTCTAGAATTCCTGTCAAACATGTTCGCTTCTCCACAGCTCCAGTCCTGCTTTGCCACTTTATCTGCCAAGCTGAAGGCAGTTCCTGTTCCCTGCAGTGACAGATTGAGTTTGTTGAGCAGGTTAAATGTGTCACATGAGGAAAGAAGCTCCAAGATCACTCTGTTCAAGACRCAATCCCTGCCAAAGGCTGTTTTACTAAAAAAACCTAACATAGCTTGCTTTGACTTTGCTTTCAGACATCCTAAATGTGTACAAATATGGACTCTATTAGTTTGTGATGAACCAACTTGAAAGGCCTTGAAGCCTTGAATAATTTGGAGCTATAAACAGGGATTAACTACAATATGGGTGCCAATGCAGCTAAGAAAAAACACCCACATTTTATAATGGATGGACTACATAAGACATGTATAGTCTAAACAAATTAAAGCTGCTTCCAGTGGCTCATTAGGGTCATCATGGTAACAACACACCTGTGTCTCTCACTCTCTGGCTGACATGTTAAAGGTGCAGACAGAGACAGACCTCCAAGACACACTAACTGCAAAAGTAAGGTCAGATTTTTTTAAGTACTTAAACTGTAAGCATTAGAAGCTGCTGATGATCACAGTACTTTTTATGTTTCTACACGAGATATGACAAGTTAAAAAAAAACCTTCACGTTCAGTTAGACGAAAACGTTTTGAGCTACAGTATAATTGAATCTGTGGAAGCGTCAGTGAGCACCATCTGCTCTCTTTCTGAGGGAGCTTGAGATTAAACCTTAAGTCCTGTAGCTGTGAGAGACACGCAGTGAGAAAGGACAAAAATGCCTACATTTAGATGTACTGTACCTAAAATATAAACCATGATAGGGGCACCAAGTGTAAAATAAAATGTTAAAAATGTCACTAACACGTTTTCATAATTTAATTTGACATATATGTGTAAATGTGTTTAATTCTGCAGTATTTTGTCTAAAGCCTGCCTTAGTGCTGCCCTCTATGGGCTGAACGGTGGCTACTGCAGTTCAATTTTCTTTTTGGCTAAAATGGTAGCTACAGCTTGGTACATGCTTATGTCACAATGGTTTGAGTATAAAAGCCTCTCACACAGAGACATGTCGCTGCAGCGAGTCAGGGGTTGGAACAGCGAGCACTATGAAGAAAGTTTCTTACTGCTTTGAACATTAGCCCATGTTAGCATTGATGCTGCTGTCATCACCTTAACGCTCGGAAACTGGACACATTCGGTCCTCCATTGATTTGGCAGCAACAGCTTCATTCATCGCTGAGTCAGCGCCTTGAGCCAGCAGCTCGATCCAATAAGACTCACACCTGCTCTGGTTACTCTCTGTGTTTCAATGGAGAAGCAGTTTCCAATGTGCACAAATTTAGAAATGAACCCAGCAAAGGAAGGAAAAGAGCCGTGGAGCAGAACTCAGCTGGGCTTGAAGAGCAGCGTGACATGAGGACGTCTGCCCTTGGCCATGTCACCAACTGAGTTCACTTATTTWAGCAGTCCTCTTTGTGGTTCAGTGTTTCTTCATCTGACCACAAAGTTGCTGCTCCGTGTCATCTTCAATATTCTCTCAGTAATAAATCAGTTTGATTATGTTTAATCCTGCAAGCGGGGCAGTCCCAAACAGTTTATAATTACTGAGCATGTATGACATGAAACTTTACTTTGTACAAAATCTGTTAATTTCTTTCAAACATTCAGAAACGTTTTCAGACCTCCTCTCAATGCCCCTCAGTACCGTTCACTTTGTTGGAATTTTTTTGGAAGGTTCTGCTTTCACAGGTGGTTTAATTGCACTTTCCAAAGACAGCGTCAAAACGAGTTCAGACACACGACAGAAAAAGGGTGAAAGAGGGGCTTGTGGAGTTACAATAAGGATGACCTCAGACCAAAACATAGCAGTTCCAGTTTATATAACTGAATTATTTAAACGTAAAAACTAAGGATTAAAAAAATGGCATGTCTCTTTGAAGTATTTCGGAATGAAACACAGCCTTTGATGTTGTGTGCAGCTTTTGTCAGGATATCTTTATCCTGCAACAAAAGCAATCGCTACTGCTGATGGCAATTTAAATTAAATTCAAAATGTTTGCATTGAAAACAATATGGATGGTGTTTGTGGTCCGGCAGTTCGAAACGCAGCTTGGACACCAGCTTCAACTGCAGTTTTTGTGTCTAGTAGTGTACCGTTAGCTGCTTTAGCTGTGTCAGCTGCATTAGCTGCATTAGCTGCGTTTGCTACGTTAGCTGCRTTTGCTGCATTTGCTGCRTTTGCTACGTTAGCTGCGTTTGCAGCATTAGCCGTTGCTTTTGTCTCAGGATCATCATGTTATAACAAAAGCCTTTTACCAACAGCAAAGTCTGAGTTCCATTTCGAAATACTTAAATGTGAACTTCAACATTTAGTCTCAACACTTAGATTTAACTTTTACATTTACCTTACCTTTACATTTATATTTACACATTTCAATTTAAAATTTAACATTCAGTAAAGATTTGAAAAATGTAAGAACTGTGCGCTAAATAACAACAAAATGGAGGATTTTTTTTTATGTAGAATTTTACACCCAGAAAGTGAACTTAATAATGAAAATGWGACGTTTTGTAACATTTTATTTTACACTTGTAAAGCATTTGATTCTATGAAAACAAAAATTGATTTCAGATCTCACTTCAGACATGTCAAGTCCAACTTTTTACCTGTTTGAACTTGATCTGAGCTGTAGACAGGGCTGCATATTTTACTGTCTTCTGCCAAAATTGTATTGATCTTTTTTTTTCGTTTTCTTGTAATTTGTTACAAATGTTTTAAACTGTCTGAGATCCTGTTGTCAAACGTCATCTCAAATTATTAATAACTGAGGAGAACATTATTGTGTATAATTTCCAYGCTTTATTTTGAAGGTATCAAACAAGATACAGGACAAAAACTTTTTTGTACATAATTCAAATGAGCGTTCTCTAATTCTTCCTCACTTCACCCTGAATAACTCTTTGTTGTTGTGCAGACATTCATTATTCATTCACTGTGTACTTTCCCCAGGCTCTGGTGACTCAGCTGTCGTCCCCGGCAGTGACGAACCCTGCGGCGCTGACGGCCGAGGAATACTTCAACCCCGGCGCCGTGCAGTCGCTGAGGGACATCGGCCACCCGTGCCAGCTCACCACCAAGACCCAGAGGTGACTCAGACGGACAGGGAAGCGGCACGTGCAGCCGAGTCGCACCCCTACAAACTCAAAGTGTCAGCGCTGACAGATTGATGATGGACGTAGAATAGTCCGGGTAAAACTCTGCGAACTGCGGCCGCTGATGGCGGCGCTCCGGAGGTGAAGAGGGGGCAAACGCAGACTCAAACCGGAGTAAAGGCTTTTCAAAGGTGGTGCAGTGGAGCGTTTAGAGCTYTGCAGTCGGCCACACAGCTCAGGAGGGATGAGTCACTGCACTTTGTTTGCAAAAAACACAAAACGTGAACTCAAGGATGAGAGGAAAAGTGACAAAATAACGTAAAGAAGTGACGTAATTTTAGCTACCTTGGTCAAACCGTGAAAATAATTTTATGCAATATTGCAAAATGTTACAGTCAAAGGATRTGTTGGGGGTGACTCTCAGCTACTACCACGCCAACGTTTAGCTGAATATGTGCAAAATTATCTGAGTTCTGGCCATTTTGTCTCAGCTAATGTTGATTAGTTGTGGAACCATCATGAAAACCCATCCAGTCATTATTGAGATATTTTGCTAACAGACACACGCACACAGGCAAAACCGCCATGTTTTGCCACTTGCGAGCCGAAATCAGAGATATCTGGGGTCTAGAATGAAAGGAAACAATAAGTTGAAGCATTGCTGAGTATGAGAGCAGCTGCAGTCCGTCTCATCAGCCCGTCAGACCATCATCTGTCCACTCTTCCTCCAAACGTTGATCTAATTGTCCTTTTCACTCATCATTTCCATCAACCTCAGCCTGTAAATAAAAAGCGACAGGACATGATGAGGATGAATTCATGGAGGAGGCAGAGCTTCCTCTCAGTCTTCTGTTCATTATCGCGCAAATTAGAGGATAACAATTGATCGTCCCGGGTTTGAACATGAGTCAGCAGCTTGTGGACGGACGCCGTTAGCTGATGTGATCGATGTCTTTTTTTTTATTCCTCCGTCCAAGGAACTGTCTGATCTGGGATGCAGATGGCTTTAATTATGCTCAAGTTAGAGACCAGCTCTTTCTTTGCTGCTGGTTGCAGTTTGGTCACTCTGTTTTTGTTTGTTTGCAGGTTTAAAGCCAAGCTGTGGTTGTGTGAGACACATCCTCTGTCCCTGGCAGAACAAGTGGTGCCCATCATCGACCTCATGGCCATCTCCAACACTCTGTTTGCCAAGCTGCGCGACTTCATCACGCTGCGGCTGCCGCCCGGCTTCCCCGTCAAGATCGGTGAGCGTGAGATAAGTGAGGCCTACGATCAGAGGGACAATTTACCTTGAAGAAAAAACTTTCTAAATAACTTTCCTGAAAAATAGTTCAACAGGGAAGTTAAAAGCAGAACAAAAGCTGAACTCAGGAAAACAATAGCTAAAAGCTAAAATAAGAAAAATCATAACTAAGTGCTAAGTGTAGCAAAACTATGGCTAAGAGTTAAAACTAGCATAGCTGTTGCTGAATGCTAAGTCTAGGAAAACTGTAGCTTAAATTTAGCTAAAATTTAAATGTAACTGATTATTTTCCAAAAGTTAAGTATAGAAAAATTGTTGATAAGAGCTAAAATTCGCAAAAGCACAAGTAAAAGTTGACATGAACAAAACAGTAGCTAAAAGCTACTGGTAYATGGAGCACAATTGTAAAAGCTAAAATTAACTAAATTGTACCTGAAATCTACAATTACCTAAACATAAACTAAAAACTAAATTGTAGTTAAAAGTTAAATGTAACTAATTATTTTCTAAAAGCTAAGCGCAAAAAAAATTGTAACTAAAAGCAAAAAATGTTTGTAATTGTAAATAAAAGCTGCTGTTAGTGAAACAGGAGCTAAAAGCTAAATCTAAAATGAACAAAACTGTCATAGGAAACTAAAAGGAACAGAACAAACAAAACTGAAGTCAGTTTATTGAAAAAGATTTTAGAAAAAAATGTTTTTAAAGGAGCTGAAGTGATCTTAATGTTCTTATTTATGAGATTTTCTTTGAATAAACAAAGTTAAATAATTAAAAAAATGTAAAAAAAAAAAATGCTAAGKAAAAGTCATAACAGACTTCCCCCAGTCCATCAGAAAACTTTGATGCATAAACTATTGAAATAGCAGAACGTTTGCATAAATACTAAATCTGAATAAACTGGAAGAAACTAGAAAACAACAAAGTGACCTCACACAATGAGATGAAAGGGACAACAGAGAGGGGAGACATCAGGACTCTGATGTGTTGCTCTGCTTCACCCCACCCCCGCCCTACAGAGATCCCCCTGTACCACATCCTGAACGCCAGGATCACCTTCAGCAACCTGAACGGCTGCGAGGAGGGGCCCGCGGTCCGGTCTGACWGTGAGATCGGAGTAGATGGAGACGGACAGAGGGACACCTCAAGGACAGACACCCCGTCTCCTGGCAGCGACTCGTCCAGCGTCTCCAGCTCGAGCTCCACCAGTAAGACCCCGCTCCCTTAAACTCATCTCAGTCATGTCTCAGCTGTAGAACCTCATGTTACTTTTTTATTTTCTGACTGCGATACGGTTCGACCTGCCTCTGTGGGCGTCTTTGTCTCCCTGTTGGCAAAATAATGCACCTCATGAGCCCCAGAACAGATATGATCACTGGATTATAACTACCCTCAGAGTCGACCCAATTCAAGATGGTGGATACGTCTAATAGATATTAGCTAAAACGAAAACTCAGCGCTCGACTTGTAGGAAGCAGTTTGTACAATGATTTGGTTGATCCTCTGCTCTTCCTCTCCCCGCCGTTCTCCTTCAGCCTCCTTCACTGTCAGATAACACATCTTCCCATCTCTTTGCCCTTTGCCCCCGCTTCCTGAAACAGTGTCGTGCCGAGCTGGAGAGATCCCCCCGTGTGTGTTCGAGCCCCCGCCTGGATACACCGTGCAAGGAGGCAAACAGAGAGACAGCATGAGGGAGGAGGAGGAGGATTTGCTACAGTTTGCTATACAGCAGAGTCTGCTGGAGGCCGGATCTGAATATGATCAGGTGACCTGACTGTGGAGCTCTTTAGCTTCTGTTCTATTAGTAAACAAACCAGATGCTACCATATTAAACTGTTTTTCTTCCATAATAAGTGCTTATGCTGAAATACTGGATGTTACTACTGTACATATAATAAAATACGATAGAAAGGAAAAACAGTGCATTTCCAGCTATGGTGGATCAGGTAAAAACTGCTGCTTGGCTTGGACCAGTCCCACATACCAGATCAGTAGAAGCCATGCTAGCTGCCACACACAGACTCTTGTCTTTAATCTTTCGACTGGTGCTCTGCTTCGGAGCAAATAATTCAGCTGTCTTCAGTAAATCTGAGGTTAAACCCTCATAACCAATATAGGGTGAAAATTTAAAAAGTCTTAAAGCCATCACTATGTTTAATCACATGAAAGGTWAAGCCAAAGCAGCAGGAGCGCTCCCTGTAGGCCGACTCCAGTATAAGAGTGAGTCTATGTATGTATGTATAAACAAAGAAGCAGTTCCATGGCAGAGAGATTTAAATACACTTCAAATATATTCCTACTTTTTTCAGGTGTCGACTTTGGTTGACTCAGGTACCTTACCTTGTGGCTGTGTGCTCACAAATGTTGTTTTTAAACATATTTAGTGACAATTGTTCTCTTGACTTAAGAACAACCTCTGCTCCCAAAGTACAATATTATTATAAATAATATAAAAATACAACATGGCAATACCCATGATGGATGGATGGATGGATGGATGGATGGATGGATGGATGGATGGATGGATGGATGGATGGATGGATGGATGGATGGATGGATGGATGGATG